TCTCCAGCCCCAGTGACAGTGGGTCCAAGGGGTGGTGCTGAGCCATCTCTCATGGTCTCTGCCTGGCCCCTAGAGCCCAGCAGAATAGACAAGAGACTTTACCAACTGTCTTCTGCCAGTGCCTTTGGTTGTATATGCGTGGGTGATGTTTCTCAATTGGAATTTGACTTCAGGTTTTTCCTGGAATTACTAATTTCTTTCCCTGTATTTGTGTCCATTTCTAAATCCATGGAAAATATTTCTAAATCCAGGTCCAATCATTTGTCTCTCCTTCCATCTCTGAGTCACTTATCTTTGTACTCTGGAAGAGAATTTATTCCCTAAGGCAATTAAAGGCCACTCCTGAAATTAAATACAAAGTCTACTACCTAAAGACTGAGCATTCAGAATGTGTGAGGAACTGGGAAGATTGGGAGGTGGGAAATCTGGGTTTTAGTGCCATTAGCTAGCCTGGTGACCCCGGAAAAGTCTTTCATCTGAGTCTTTTTCTCATGTCTAAAATGTGGGCTTTGCTACAAACGTACTTGGAAGATCCCTTCTAGTGCTAACATTTAGGATTCTATTTGCTTACTTTATTATTTTAAACCATTCCTTGCCCCAGCAGGAATTATCGGCAATCAACTGGGTTAAAATTTTCTTTATTATCATTTGATCCCACACATACATATTACAAACATACATATACATCCAAACAATTTAAAATATTCTATTTGATCAAGAATTAAAAACTTCTGAATCACAGACCTAATAAGGAGAAACTGGAAGAATGTATAAGAAAATGGTACACCTAGGGGTGCCTCTGAGGAGTGAACTTGAGGACTGGAGATCAGGAGTAGGAGAGAGACTTTTCACTGTATATTGTTTTGCACCTTTTCCATTTTTTGCCACATTTATTTATTACCTCTATAGCTAAAAAAATTTTTTAAGCAAGAAAAAAGTTTTCCTTTCTCTTTCTTCTACTGCAGGCCTCTCTGTGGCTCAGTTCCTAAGGAGAGGAGCCGAGTGATAGAACTAGAGTCACACGCTGGAAGCCACCCATCAGCCCAGCCCTGCCTCCCGCTGGGGTGGCCAACAGCCCTGCTCCCCTGGCTGCCCCACAGCCTGTAGGGGTTCTGTGGGCACATGTCAGCCACTGGCTGCCCTTGCCACTGGCACTCCTGCTGGGCTGTCAAGTTAGTAGAGGGACTCCATTCAGGGTGTTCCAGTAAGAGGCAGGTGCTCATGGCTGCTCGTGGAGCTCATGGCTCCAGGAGCCAGACCAGCAAAGGGGTCTAAGAATTCAGCAAGGGGGTAAGTATCCAGCCTTAAATTCCCCAGACCTTGCTATTTTCTTTAAAAGACTGACTTCTTTTTTGGTTTATTTTATGTACTGCTGCTAATATAACAGGAACATAAAAGAAATAAGAATAAACAGGCCAGAGATGAGTGGGGAGGCAGGGTCTTCACGGCTTCCTTTCTTTTCTTGTTACCCAGCCCCATGCTGCTGGCCTCTGCTAGCAGGGTGGGCCGCAGCATCTCTGGTAGCATCCCATTCCCCTAATGCCAGCTCCTTGTCAGCTTTCCCTCATGGCACCTTCTAGCCTCCACCTGGCCCTCGCTTCCACCTCCTTTTCTGCTTGTAACCTTGGATGGATGCTGGCCCATTACTTCTGTGTCCCCTACTCCCCTCCACCCTTTCTCTGATTCCTCCTCCACTGGCTTTCCTACCTACTGCACTGCTACACTGCCAAGAAGCGGCTGCCATCGGTGAGGTCCATGTCCCAGTCTGGAGCTGTCACCTGCCTCACAACTGAGACTGCACAAGGTAGATTCTCTGACCCTTCATTTACACTGCCTGATCCATAGATCTTTCCAGGATTCACAAAGTCAATCTCCCATTAGTAATTAATTATTACTTCCTTTCCTTCACATTCTCTTTTGCTAAAATCCAGAGAGCAAAGTTAAAATGTTCTTAGATTACTCTTAGGTCTTTTAAGTGGTCTCTGTGGCTAGGGTGAAGGAGGGCACGTTGGTCCTCTGAAGTCCCAAGGCTTTGTCTGCTAGAAAGAATCCTTCTAAACACGGCTCTGCATGTGGCCAGGCTCAATCGGGGACACCCTGGCTGTGCTGGAGCAGGACTGACCTCAGATCACTGCCCCCAGGGTCCAGTATGGCATTGAGCAGCTTCTCTTGCCTCCCTAACTGCACACAAGCCCTGAGGGGGGCAGATCATCTCCCAGCAGGCCTTGGGAAGGAGGGCAATCAAGAAGCCAAGGCAGAGTCAGACAAGAAGCAGCAGATGGATATGTGCACTTGGTCAAGTAGGTACAAATAGACTCCAAGAGATGAAAAGATACAGAGGGTGAGGAAAAACAGCTTCAGGGAAAGAAAAGGCAGAGAGTGAAAACCAATAAAAGTGTAATAAATATTAAAGCCAGAAAGGCCTGAAAAGAAACCATCCAGAGAGCAGCAAGAGGAAGATTAACATAACTGGAGTTAGGTCAGAGAGCAGAAGACCAGAAGGGGCTGGCATGGTCAGTACTCATGGTGCTGGAGGCAGGAACAAGGTGCAACATAAATCTCCCAGGTAGGGTCACACACCTTCCAAGCTGTTGGGTTTATTGGCTGCGGCAAGCAGAATCTATTTAAAACACACCAGGCGCTTTGTCTTGTTCTGTTTCCCTGCCCAGAAAAGGATAGAAGCAAAGGCTGAGGGAACCACTCCAGCACTGGGACCCTGCAGCGACCACAGGATTGCTACAGTGAAGATCCCTGCCCATCTTGGAATGACCACTCCCCCACCCCAACCTGCTAGGCAGTGAAGCTCACAGCATATTGAACACAGCCCTGAAGCCTGCATGTGTTACCTACTTCCACTGGGAAAGACTCAATGACTCCTTCATCCTGTCTTCAAGCTTGTCAGAAAGCAGATGCTGCTCAAATGTGACAGCTGCTCTAAGTGGATGCTCAAAGGGAGCTCCCTGACCAGTAGGAATATTCTTAATGATGACTGGAGAGGTCTTGGGTGATTAGATTACAGCAAGACAAAGGAGCGAGCAGGACAGAGCACCAAGGATAAAATGGCCTGAGGGAAAGCATATGGGACCTGAACTGGAAAACACCAAGGGCCTTACTCCTCCCTCTGGCCTGTGTATCTTTGGGAAGCTCTAATCTGTAGAAGACTTGACTCCTTATCCACCTGCCACAGAGAAAGTATAAAATAAGGCTGAGAGCTGGGGGAAGCAAAGTGAAGGCATCCATTCAAGTTTTGCTTCTTCTCCCTACCAAGAGGGTTGGGGATGAGAGAGCTTTCTTTCCCTGGCTCTTGAGCCCTTAAGATGTTCAACAAAGCTGAATATGAGTCCTCTGCTCTGCATGAGATTCATATTCTTGAAAAACTTAGTGTACAAATCAAATCAAATCAAATTTTGCCTGCCAGAGAAGTTGGCTTTTCAAGATAAATCATCATCCCAGTTCATGGTTGTAAATTTGGAATTCTGAATGTCTGACTTGGAGAGAGGAAGGTTGTCTAGAGATTCACCTACAGTTTGCTTTTAGGTAGCAATTAAGCACTACTTTAAAACAAAAAAACTTAAGCAGAAAATTGTACTCCAGGGGCTACTGCTAGAGAAATAAGAGTTTAAAAAAAATTGGAAAATTCAAATATGGAAAAAAGTAGAGAGTCAAATACAACAAACCTAGCTTTGACAATTATCAACTCATGGCCAATCCTGTGCAAAACGTGGGCTTTTGAGCTAGCTGACAGATGGACAGTGTGAACTTTATGATACGGGACAAACAGATTAGTCCTACTGAGGCTGCAGGATTCACAAAGTTTCTGCGTAAATACCCTAAACTAAAACCTAGAGTATGAGGAGAAAGGTTGAATAAACATATTCTTGGGTAACAACCAAAGAAGAAATTTGGGACTAAAAAAAAAAAACAAAAAACAAAAAACCCAAAGCCATGAGGCAGACACACACACACACACACACACACACACACACACAATGTCTCTGAAGGATGCACAGGTAAATAGTAACAGTGGTTACCTCCAAAGAGAGGAACGAGGTGGACTGTGGGAAAGGAGTAGGGAGAAGATTTCCTTTTCACTATGCATTTTTTATTCCTTGTACAATGTGCACTTATTGCCTATTTTAAAAAATTAAGTTGTTAAAAACAATATCATAAAGCTTTTCAGTAACCAACTCCACAAGATGTGACAAAAGTGCAAACTGCTTGGCATCAGACCACCAAACCTTCATCCCATTTTGACCTGGATGTCCTGTCTTAGGTTGTTGTTGTTGTTAGGTGCTGTTGAGTCGGTTCTGACTCGTAGCGACCCTGCTATTACTGTCGTATAGTAATACACAACCTTCTACCTCAAGCTGTGCACTATCAGGATAGGTGTTTCATGTAGTCTTAAAAACCTCAGCCTCTGCATACAGGTAAGCCATAGATCACTATTTGGGGGTTTGTCAGGTTGGTGGTTCAGAGAAAGCTGTTGTTTTGAGAAAACAACACTATATGGACTTCTTGCAAAAACTTGCTCTTTGGAAACCACCACTACAGCATGTGCTTTTGGTTAAACATTCCATGGCTGAAAAGCAACTCTATGCTGAAATGCCGAGAGGATGAGGCAAAATCTTGGCCAAGGTCAAGCTCTGCTGATGGTTTGAGAGGGGGATGGCGGCCAACTGCACTGCACTTGCAGAACATTTGAAAAAGAAAAACTAACCCCAAGTCATATTCTGTTCCTTTCCTGAGCCAACTTTAGTCCCGCTCATTGTATCCAAGAACTCAGAGGAAGCCATATGTGCTACAGCGCAGGCCTTCCAAACCTCCAGGGCCAAACATACGTATGTTAATGAAGAAACTAAGCCAGCCCACAGGGGCTCTAGTTGGCTCTATGGGATATGGCAAAAGATTTCAGAATTTTAGAAAGTCAGGGTCCATCTAGGAAAGAGTAGAGAAACGTACTTTAGCCTCCTTTCTGGTTGTCTGGTCACTTTTTCCGGAAAAAAAAAAAAAAAAAAAGACCCCAATTTGGTAGAAAATTGGGCCTCATGCCTACATCTAGGTGTTTATTGTGAAAAGAGCTTCAAGTTTACCATACATAGTACAAATCTGCGTTACACAAAGAAAAGCCAACATACTGTCTTTAGGACTGAAACTCTAAGCACGAAGATAGACCAGAAAATGTATTTTCTGCCAGGTCACAGGGAATACATATATACAGAGAAATGTCTTTCAGCAGCTTATAAAATGCAAACTTTACTTTTTTGCACGTTTGTCTAGCTGATGGCCAAACGTAAAGGTGAGCAGGACAAAGTCCAAGGCAAGTCAGGGCCACACAAGACACAGGCCACAGAGACTCTTCCCAGTCTCCCTGTGAGTCAGCCAGGCCTCAGGACTCATGATGGATAGCAATGTAGAAATGTGTTAACACTGCAGACCCCTGAATTTTCTCAGGCAGTCACAACAACATAACAAAAGAGAGAGAATATCTGTAACTTATTGGTTTAATGTTTTCCTTTTAAAATGCCCAATTCTATTCCATTGTCTCTATGATGTATATCCTCAATTTCTCCTCACCTTAAAATGAGAAGTTGTCCCCTTTTTTTCCTCAATATTCTCCCACCTACAAAACTTGGAAGACTTGCCTCATTTCCATTTCATAACTTATGTCTTATTGAACCTTACAGCACTGGCAATGTGGTTAAAGATAAGGATTTCTCTTCTCTCTTTATGGTTAAATAGTGGGCAGAGTAGGAATGCGAGTTCCAGAGGGCCACACACAGCACTGCTCAGGTGAGAAGAGTGTTCTGACCCCAGGTGGAGCACCAGATGGAGGGAGCAGGCTTCTCCCCAGTCAATGAGGTCAGGAAGACATGGTGTGACATTCTGTTTCCCTCATTCCTCTTCTTTCATGCACAGTCTCCACTCCCAGGGCTGGGGGTGGGATGAGAGCGTGCACTGAAGCAGAAGGTACATAGTATACCCAAGGGAAACTGCCGCATAAAGAAACAGTGGGATGTATTACAGCATGCTACAGCTGGGAGGGCCTTTAGAGCACATTGGATTCAAACCTCTAATTTTATAGGTGCAGAAAGGAGCCCAGAAAAGTTAAGTGATTGGTACAAAGATATGCAGCTGGTGGCTGGAACTAGAAACCCAGGTCACCAGCCCACTCTTCTGTTTCTCCAACATGTCAGAACCGGGTATAGAAAAAAGCAAAATATTAAGTCAAGGCCCCGATCAAATACATGCAGCTCCTTTAAAACTACTCATGTCTCAATCTCCCGTTTCTTTCAGCCCCTTCAGCCTACTAAGCTCGTTTCTGATTCTTATCCAGGACTTAATAGATACCCTGGTGGCCTGAGTAGTCAGAATCCAACTCTGCCCCAGCACGTTACAGCCCGAGAAGGAAAATCTTTGGGAAGCCGGAGTAGAGTGTAAGTAAGTAGCCTTTCCAGCTCAGGAATATTCTGGACCCACACATCATGCTTATGATAATGCTGACTCTAACTCAGCAGCTTTTGAAGCTTATGCTGACAGAAAGGCAACAGGCTACCCCATCCAGCAAGAGAGAAAAATTCAAGAATTAATAACCAATAAGGAAGCTGGAAGGAAGGTGAATGCTTTGAGTTCAGTCTGGAGGGTAGGAAATTAACTATCTCTGCTCAATCAGGGCAGGGAATGATCTTCTCAGGCAGCGCGTGCCATATGAGAAGAGGGTACAACCAAGGCTACATGAACTAGGTCCTCTGAAGGAAGTCAGTTTTTTATTATCCCCCAAATGATTATCCATTTGGGCCAGTTACCCACAGTACCTAGGGGCCTCCAACCAAGGACTGCCACAGACAAAGCTGGTTAGAAGGAAACAATGGTCTAATGTACTTCCCACCTTCCCAAATAACATGCTGACATTTACACAAGGGCCTTGGGGCCTCAAGCTAAGGGAATGACTAATTCATCTCTTAGCAGGCTGGTAGAATAGGTACTTTTGAATAAGTGAGCCATTTGGCTGCAATTCAATCAACCCTGCTCCATTACCTGATGCAAACCTGCCCAGGACTGGGGAAAGACAGAAGTTACTGGGCTCCAGCATGAGAGGGCCACTTAGCGAATGCCTGAAAACCACAGTGTTCCAAAATAAAAGTATTTCAGGGATTATATATTAATTTTATGTTATTCAGATCAAGAGCTAATTGTAACAGGAATCATTCTCACACCCTCTGTCAGCTTATCTCACCCAAGAAAAACAAATTCTGCTATTCATTGATTTTCACTGTTTTCCTGGGGGAAGTAGGTACTCTAAAAATGACCATTTTATATTAGAAAAGACAAAAGACCAGAAAGAACAATTGATGTAACATACATAATAATTAGTAAGCTAGCAGACTAAGAAAGTATCTCCTTTAGACGGAGGAAGCGATACCCCTCGTGAGGATGAGATATAATGAAGGGGAAAGAGAAGATGAATGAATGAATGAAAAACTCAGAGAGGTAGGGTAAAAGTCAGAAAGAGAGGTAAGAATTTAAATTATAGTCAAATGTTAGTGCCCCAAACTAACTTGCAGACTAGGAAGCTGAACAAAAGCTTCTTCTGCCTGCCGGGGTCCTAAGAGTCTTAAATGAGGGATTAAAATGGTTTTATTTCAACAGAACACATTTCGTCATCCAATCTCTATCCGAAACACGGATTAGAATAAGTAACCTATGGCTGCACTCTTAAGCAGCAACAAATTCCTGAATATTGTGCCTGGTTCACCTCATGATGGCAAATCACTAATTGCTTGTCTATCAAAAAAAAATCTGTCTGTAACCTTTATTTTAAAATTAAAAAATTAGTTATAATTAAAGTTGTTTATTTTTACATTTTTATTGTGAAATAAACACTAACAGTGTTTCCAAAACACACTGACTACAAGGGGGAAATGAGGCAAGAAAGGAGGGGAGGCAGACGGAGTAGAGAAGAGACTCCAAACATCAGGAGCATTCTGAGAGGCCTTTGTCAGACATCCCCTACCCCCTTAATCATCCAAGCTCAGCAAATGCATGGAACACTGGAGCTCCAGGGTCAAGAAAAGCATTCCCTTAATACAAACTGCCCACTTCCTAAAAGGTAATATCAACTTGTACTCACTCTAGCAACGTGAGTGAGTTCCCCTCATCACAATCCAATTTTTAGGATTCTATCCTAAAGAAGCCAAAGATGCAGACCAAGATTTATATGCAAGAATATTCATCACAGCATTATTGATAACGGCAAAGGATCTAAAACAACTAAAATCTTCAACAGTGTGAGAATGGATAACTAAAGTAAGGTAGAGCCACTAGAAATTTACTTTCAAAGACTTAAGGACACAGGAAATTCCTTGTTAAATGGGAGGAAAAAATTACGATATCAAGCTGTATGTATGTATGACCCTAATTTTGTTTAAATATTATACATATGATATGCATTTTTAAATAATGAAAGAAAATTAAGAAACACATCAGTAAAGGCTAGCTCTGCTCTAGATGGAGGGAAGAGATGATTTTTATTCCTTCTGTAGACTCATTAGAGAATAAGCATATGTTACTTTTATATCAGAAAAAACAATAAATCTTTAAGTATGTCTACCCTAAAATCTCTCCATTGAGGTGGCAATTGTCACCCTTAGGAAAATACTGCTAAAGTTCAAGGCAAACTCAGAGAACAAAGAGATTCAGATCTATACGGTAACCGCTTTTAAAAAGGTAAGACCTCTAGTGACACAGTCTAGCTTTTCCTCTACTTTGGCTGCTGCATCTACTTTACTGCACTTTGCAAGAAACCCTACTGGAGAACTTCAGTGAACCCATTCTCTCTTCCACCAGCAACCACTGTGCCTTAAACAACCTCTTATGTGTTTCTCACCTCTTAGCATGAGGATCACGGAGCCCTATTAGTGCAACGGCTACCGTAAGCACTCAGCTGCTAACCAAAAGGTTGGCAGTTTGAACCTACCCAGAGGCTCTGCAGGAGAAAAGACCTGGCGATCTGCTTCCATAAAGCCAAGAAAATCCAATGGGGCTGTTCTACTCTGTTATTGGGGTTACTGTGAGTTGAAAACGACTCCACGGCACCCACTAACAACAGCATGAGAATCATAGGGGAAGAGAAAGAAAGAGCCCTACTCCCTTCTTTCAGAGGAAGAATTTTTCTTGTAGAGCTATCAAAATGACTCAAAGTCAGCTATGTAGATTTTGAAACATAAATCATGAGTAATGTTCAGTAACCGAGTATAAAAGTCACTTACTTCTCATCAAGACTGAATATAAAAACAAAATCTATGACTGCCACCTTGTGGCAAGCCTACTACCACAACCAAGTAATGAGCTGTCTTCCACCCATCCTTCTCCAAGGTTCTTCACCCCTGCACTCCATGAAGCACAGCCACTGAGGCATACATCCCATAGTAACCTACTACATTGAACACACGTTTCCCAAAGTGGCTGCTACTACTCGTTTTCAAAGATTTCTAGTTTAGATCCCAGAAATGCCTGTTTGAGGACCAGAGAAAAAAATGCAGGATGAGTGCATGTGCTTGTGAGCTGCTGCTGCTGGGCCACTTGGTGCACTGTTTCTGAGGTACAGCCAGTGCACACATACCATGTACTGTCCTGAGGCAGGAACATAGGATAAATACCTTCTCCCCCAAGAATATTTACCGACCTTACAAAATTATGAAGAAAGTTTTCTGTTTACAAGCAGTGAGCTTTGTGCTTAGAAATTTTATTTATCAATGTTAGAACAACCATCACCAACTTGGGCACAATTCCAAAATAGAGCTCTTGTTGGATTCTGGTCATAAAATCTTTTTTTAAGCTTGTTAAAGATCTTTTAAGATAAGAAAGTTTTCTTAATACTTTAGAAAAAGTAATAATCACTAATAAAATGGTTTCATACTCAAAGTGAGAGCCTACTATTTTGAAATATGAAACACCACTATTTTGAACATCTAAACATGTTAATTAGCATCAAATGGCTTTGGATGTTGGCATCTCAGGCTTCAAAGGCAATAGAGAAGTCCTCATGTTGCAACCTGACCAAATGACTCTGGGGGTGAATTAAGTGGTTAAAAGAGGTCAGTATCACAAATCTGATGGAAACAGAACACTGAAGGGACCCGATACTGATTCTAAAAAAAAGATAATCTTCCTCTCAGAAGGGGTTAAGCTAAAAACCTTGTGGGCAGGGGGGCTGAAACAAGCAGACAATGAAAACCATGACGAGAAAAGCAAAGCAAATGATCAAAGTTCTACTGGAAAATGGTGCTTCTCTCTGTCCCACCCAGGTTGAAGACTTATTTCAGAAAAGGATTCCCCACAGTATCAGGGTGGAAGCATATGGCAAGAAGCTGCTGCTTTGGTCCTGGACATGTAAAGGAGAGCATTTTTAAGTATGTAAAATGAACTGAAGGGACCCGGAAAGGATGGGTCCCAACCAGCTAAGCTGTGGGAGAGCCATCAGCCAAAGAAATTATGAGGTTAAACTGGGAAAACGAATCTGACCCCTTGTTCACTTCTCTAACCTCTGGAAGAAATTTTCCTCCCCTCCTAACCTGATGAGATTGATCATTTATACATGACAGTCCCTGCAAAAGATAAACCAACATGCTAGGCAAGGAAAAAATGTATTAACAACCTGAGGCTCTTGACAAGTCCCTTCAGGGAGAATCTTTCACTTTCCTTCTGCTCAGGGAAAGCAAAAGAGGGAGAGCAAACATAAAGGCCAAAGCCTTCCTTGTCCACAAAAATAAGAGGGAGGAAAAAGAAAACTGACCCTGCCCAATTAAAATTCAAAATCATAAGTTCCTCTTAAAAGAAAGCCTTGCTCCACCAGGAGCATCTTGGGGCTTTTATGGGTTAATTCTGAGTTGTGTCACTGAGGCTTTGACAACTAATGACATATTAAAATGGAAGAGGTAACTTTTCAACCTTGGGTCCAGCTTCCCACCTGTCCTAACCTGGGAGGCAAGCAGCTATCACGACAGCTTGATGAGCAGGTCCTCCCCATATTTCCGGAGCAGCTTCTCATGGTTGTGGTCCACTGACCACTGCTGGGGCAGGTGCCTGGGCTGCATGGTGTCCAGGAAGTGCTGACGCCAGCGGCGCTCCAGCTGCATGAGGGAGCGCAGCCCACCCTCGGAGTGGCACTGCACCACCTTCAGCCCGTGAGGAACGTAGTTGTCATTGGAAATCCTGCCACGACACAAAGCACAAAGGGTCTGAGGAAAACAAATATAGGGCGGTCTCCCAGACAGCTCCAAATGCTGTGGGCCACGGGGCTTCCACAAGGGTATGTGGGAGGTTGTTAGACCCTTAAAGAGCTGGTTACTTTAACGTTTCCAAAACATCCTCTTTCCCATGTCTGTCATTTTTTTTATAGTTTGGTCATACTGCACACAATCTAGCATAATGCACTTGGGGGTTCTGAACTCTCCTTCTGGGAGGGGCCCTACTGTCTGGCTTACGGTGGGTGAGCTCCAGGGTTTTCTGGAGTGGGTAACTCAGTTACCAGCTTACCCTTTTTTTCAGCTATCTATTCTAAACCATACTCAGTATTTACATGAGGCTGTTAAATCAGCCCACATGTTCCCAGTTTTCCATAACACAGTGTAATACCTCAATGTAAACTGCAAGGTGGTACATTTCTGTAGAGCCTTCTTTCTCACAAAAAGAATGCCAAACGACATCCGTGATTTGGTTTGCTAAACACATCCAAGTGTTTCAGTCACAATGAAATGCTACCGTGGTTGTTCAGTTGTGCAGCTGATGCTGTTTAATGCGAGGATGCAGCCCTGCCTCCTTTCCAACTAAGCAGAGGCCTTAAAATCTGCTCTGATACTGTGTGAACGGTGCTTTTACCTCCTGAGAATAAAGATTCCCCTTTCTCAAGGAAGCACCCTGCCTGTGGACTCTGTTCCTCTCTGACATCTACACCCCACTCTCAATCCTCTCTCTCCAAGACCTACTAGTCTAGCAATGTTAGTGCCCTCTGGGTATCTGCAGACATGCTATTATTTATCTCACAAGTTTCCCACTAACTTGCTATCTTTCTTCAAAGAGCTGTTCTCAGTCCTAGACATCCAAGTCCAATATTCATCTATCTAAGTCAGCAAGATGAATTCGTTAAAAATGTCTATGGCTGAGATAAGAAGTTTGGCTGTTTTAGGAAATATATTTGGAAACTGGTCAAGGAGCCAATCTCACTAATTTGTAATATGATCTTGGCAAGTTACTTAACTTTAACCTCAGGATATTTAAACATAAAACTTGGAAAAGAGCATCTATTCTAAAACCTCACAAATTGGCTATGAGGATAAAATTCAGTAATAAATTTTTTTTTAATTGGAAAGTTTTATAAATGCAAGACATAGTATTAGCAGCTACTAGCAAGAAATCTAAATCCTACTTAAGAGGGTTGTTATAAGAAATGATTAAGGCAATTTATACAAAGCTTATTCGTTTAGTGCTACAAGATACAGTAGATCTATAAATATTTATTCAATAAATATTTGCTGCTATAATTAAAGGGTTTTTTTAATTGACAAAAAAACACTATAGGTAACAAGCATCACCATCCAGGTTTGGTGAATTTATCAGTTAAATTATTTCAATCCTCAGTACTGCTGAAAAATGTTACAGTTGGGAAGCAAAACTATACCCAGTAGTCTAGCGTTCTTATCATCTGATCCATGTGCCTGATCATTTCTCAGGGCCACAAACTTCTTATTTAGAAACTTAAGAATTATATCATATGAATTCAACTCTGAACTCACAGAGAAGCAAGGAGAAAGGAACAAAGAAAGAGAAAAGAAATGTAAACGGTAACAGCAAGTCTGCCTAACATTCCACTCAGTGGGTGAACACCCTGGAGTGCGTGGGAGATAGGAAGCATGAATCCACTTGTCTCAGATCCTACAGACCCACATAAGGTCAGAGACACAAAACCACATATACTACTTCATGGGCGATTTCAGAGATATGAGGGTATTTCTTGTCCATTATTTTCATCTTATGTGCTGACTTTAGGATTTACCTCTGCATAGAATGTATAAGATACAACTCCACTGCATTTGAACTCTAATGCTAATCAAGGAAATAAATGACAGGATGTAAGTACATGACCCTAAAGGGTCAAGGCTTGATGCCTCATGAAAGACAAGTCTCTTATGGAAAACAAACATGGTATCAGGCAATGCACTGCACCTAAGCAGTGAACGCCCCCTTCCTGGCAAGCATTTTCACTAAGCAGTCAGAGTTAATGCCAACAGGTTACTCCTCATATCCTTTCTCTGACCACAACTGGAATAAACTATACCTGGTCTCCAGGCTGGCAGCCTCTTGAAGCATCTCATCTGTGACCATGTCTGTGTTATAAAACTCTCTGAGTGCTTGCAGCAGCTCCTCCTTTCGATCAGCAGGCAGGCTCTCTGCATTGAGAAGGGCCCTGGCCCCGGAGCGCACCTGCCGGCGCTCAGGATCTTCCAGCAGGCGCAAGCCCTCCTCAGAGCCAGTGGGGGCCCGGTACTCCTTGGCCAGCTGCTGCTTCAAATGGTTGTCGTAGTAGTTGGAGATGGCATGGCAGGAGGTGCAGAGCAGCAGTACATCATGGGAGTTGTGGTCCTTCATCTCAATGGGGAAGTGCTTCCGGTACTCATGTGGGATCACGTTCTTTCTGGAACAAGCCCACCCCAAAGGTGGTGTTCGTTAATATAAGGCATAGGACAGAAAACACACACACAGCAAATCAAGGAGGTGGGACCCTAGGATTCTAGTCTAGGCCTAAATATGACTGAGAAGCCTTGGGCATCACAACCTGACACAGATTACATAAACGCAGTACTATCTACTCCACGCTCAGCCCACCTACCTACCAGTGCTTTAGGCTCCTCTCTCCTTGAAATAAGTGCAGACCACCTGCTGTCAGGCTTCAAATGGGGGACCATGAGTGGGGAGAGGTCAATAACCTTCAAGAAGTTGGCTGTACCCCGAGAAGGAGAAGTATCATAGAAACGAAAAGATATTCTAATGGCCTTTTCTAGAAACTAACTCTCTCAAAGCATGTAGTGGGTAACCTCTACTCCTGAAAGTTTGGACCTTCATCTGAGGAATCCCCTGGTTCACCAAGGTCCATCATTATTTTCTAAGGAGAACCAAGCTTTCAGGAAAAACTTTTGCAGATATAACTGTCTCACTTTGCAGGGGGAGAGGAGGCAAGTGAATTATCCACAGAAGCCAAGAAGAAAGTACAAGTCTCTGGCCCAGAGGGAATCCTCACCTTGCAGGGAAGGGACCTGTCATGGATTGAATTGTGTCCCCCAAAAAATGTGTGTAGCGACTTGGCTGGGTCATGATTCCCAGTATTGTATGATTGTGTTATCTGATGTGATTTCCCTATGTGTTGTAAACTCTACCACTATGATGAGATTATATGTGATCTTCTCATGTGTTGTAAATTCTATCACTGTGATGAGCTTATACTGATGAGGTTGACAAGATCAGTGTCTTAATGCAATCTCTTTTGAGATATAAAAGAGAGAAGTGAGCAGAGACACATGGGAACCTCATACCACCAAGAAAGCAGTGCTGGGAGCAGAGCGTGTCCTTTGGCCCTGAGATTCCTGTGCAGAGAAGCTCCCAGACCAAGGGAAGACTGATGACACGGACTTTCCTGCAGAGCCAACAGAGAAAGTGTTTCCCTGGAGCTGACACCCTGAATTTGGACTTGTATCCTACTGGACTGTGAAGAAATAAACTTCTGTTTGTTAAAGCCATCCACTTGTGGTATTCCTGTTAGAGCAGCACCAGGTGACTGAGACAGAACCCTAATATTAAATAGTGTTCCTACCCAATGCCTTCAGGTCATCTAGATACTCTAAGGATGGTACCAAGGCTCAGAAAGCGTGCTGAGTCACTCAAAGGAGGATTGTCCAAGGACACAGAGGACAAAACTTCTGAAGGAACTGGTCTCTGGCCCTTCATGAGCAAAAGGGGACCACCCTCTCCATAGCAGACTGTTACTAAGAATAGTATTGCATTCTAGAAACTACGAATTGTGCTCTGGAGGAGCAGGGGCTTCTATCGCAAGGCCAGGCCGACTGTCTGAGGAATCAGGGAGACCGAGATGCCATCTAGGGATAAGCCTCTCAGCCAAAGTGAGCAAACTCAGCCAAGGCCCCTGAGGGCCCCGCATGTGGCTGCAAGAGTACTTTCCAACACCACACTCACCGGATGTAGGAGTCTCTCTTCCCACACACCACACACAGGTTCTCTTTAACCATCAAGTAATAGTCTCCTGGGGATTCAGGTCTTCCTGCAGGTTCAAACTGAAGCTTGACCACAAAAGGCTCTTCACTCACCAGCTCTTAGAGAAAAGAAGAAGCTTTCGCGTTTGACTGCCCACCTCTCCACCAGGTAAGTAAAACCTTAATTGTGCTCTGCTCCAGACTGTATCCTGGCAGAGATCACTATTTCTGAGTTTGGAATAACCCAGCCCCATGTGCCTCAAGGTCTCTCTGCCTTCTGTCCACCGTCTCCCTTATCTCACTCTCCAGCCCTGCCAGTACCCACATGCACCTAACTATAGATGATATATGACAGCTGAATCTCAAACCTCCAATGCCTTTGTCCAGGTACCACTGAGCTTTTCTTCGATCACAAGTGCACAGGGGCTGTCCGTCAGGAGCATGGAGAAAGCAGTTATCATAGAGGGGTGATTTTCTGCAGGGAAAGGAAAGATAAATCTCAAACTGAAAACTGTTAGTTAAGGTATCAACTGCCTTCCCATGCTCTCTTCTGAGTAACTCAAGCTATTCTCTATACTAAGGCCAAACGTACAAATTATCGGGGGGAAAAAATAGGGCAAGAAACCACGTCTATTCCTCCATCTGCACTGGGCTAGGAAACAGAACTAAAAATCAGTCAGATAGTTTATGCCTCTAGCTTTTTGTATTTATGGATTGGGATATTAGGAGTGAGTTGAGTGGTATTTACATAGTTCTGCTGAGAAAGAAAACAGGAAGAAAGCAACAAGAAAACTGTCCTATAATCATCAGATTAAAAAAGGAAACTAAAATTAAAGAAGTTCAAACTAAAGTACTGTGTTTTTATGCAAATAATGCACGCCTTCTACATTTATTTGCCAATTGCTCCCTGTTGCAGTAAAAAAATAAATAAATTAGCACAGCGCACTTAAGAAAATACCTCATGGGAGAGGGGGAGAAGCGGTTGACAAACAAAAGTAGAAGGTACACGTTATTTGCGAAAAACAGGGTAATGAGGGCCATGTGGATTTACTTCTGGCTCATAGGCAATACTTGCTTTGATTTAATCATCCAATTCCTAAAGGCACTTTGCTACAGGGACCAAACTTCCACTTGAAAGTACTGATTAGTCATCTTTCTGTTGTGCAGATAAGTTGTGCAGGAAAATTCTCACTGGTTAGTGAATAACATTGGCTTAGTACTGGATATCACTCTAAATTATCAAATATCAAATGGACAAGGAATCAGATGATGTGTTTCTCCTGAAAAGTATGAGGCACCTCATGCTACTCCTTTTCACAGTTATCCTGAACAAACAAGGAATAATTACTATCCCCTCATTTATAGTTAGAGAAGTTACAGATCGAAGATCACATCAGGTCAGTGACAAAGCTGCGATAAAGTTCTCATTTCCACTTCCAACTGTGCAAAAAAAAAAAAAAGAAAAGAAAGGGAAAAGGATAAAAATACCAAAGGGAAAAAAAAAAAAAACAAAACTACAAATATCACTGAAGGAAAGGAAACGTAAAATGAAACCCTGGAGACCTAAGGTGAGGTATCACACCTTTTGCTGGAGTGACTTCTCACTAGACAGGGAACAACTTGGTTACCTGGCAGAATAACCCACTCCCAAGGGCTTTCTTTTATGTTTTCTGGGGTCTCTCCCTTGCTGGCTGCCTGGCACCATTGCATCCATCTTAGACTTCTTATTTCTTGATTTCTGGTGAGATTCTGTTGCTTCCCCATTAATGTCTTCTCCCAGTCTGATAATTCCTTTGCTTCTGAATGGGATGTCTACCACATCCTGACATTTCTCCAAGACTTCCCTCCAGCCAGTGCAGCCACTGTTTTCTTCTAGAGTTGAATTCCTAGAGAAAGGGTATCCAAGAAGATGGAGAAAGAGAGCCACTGAAATCTGGGCATCCCTGGCAGCATAAATTACCTGAAGAGAAAAGTCAGAGATCAGTGGAATCTGGGAAGCAAACCAGAGAGAACAGCATCAAAGTCAATCATAAAGACGTAGAGAACTTTCAGGATCCTAATTCAAAATGCACGATAACCAAGGCACCATGTACTTTAAAAAACTTTTTATTAAGAAAAATTCCAAACTATTGAAAAGTAATTATTTTTTAATATATTCTAGAATAGTATAATGAACTCTCATGTTCCCTGTGTATGTTTTTAACTAAAATAGTTAAAATGTCTTATTGAAATGCTCAAAGACCCTAATGTATATAAAACCAGTGACGTTTCTTTCGGTTTGTTACCAATCCCGTAGAACAGATTTTTCTCAAGTTTTTTTTGGGGGGATGGGGGTGGGGGTTGGTTAACAAAGATCTGACAGTGAGTACATGAAATTCACTTTGGGGGCAGCCGTCCCCTAGAGTAGCTGAAACCATGATTCATTAACAGGCCCATGTGACTGTCAATCAGAAATGACCTGCCATACATGTTGAAAACAGGTTTCAAATATGGGCCTCAAATCAAAAGTCACATAGGTCCATTCTTGGACTTTATTTATTTATTAATGGTAAGTCCTTCTCCAAAGCAACTAGGAATGGGCAGCTGGTCATAAATAAAAGTAGTCAAAACTAAAATCAATAGCTCTTCCTAATAAAGGGCTTAAGGACTTCAGAATTCCTTTTGTTTTCCTTTGATAACCAAGTTTGGTAAATAATTCTATTAGTAAGGATTTTTTGTGCTTTTAATACTACATCATCATCATGATCATATTCATTATTATATAATGCAGGTGTTGGGTTTTTTTTTCTTTTTAAAAACCAAAAGCGACAGAATAAAACAAGTTAGGATAACATTTTCCACCTAGATCCAGCAATCCACATATACGTCAGAAAATTGTCTTCCACAGGAAAAAGAGTGTGCTTGAATGTGAAGAGTTCAAAGTGCTTTTTAACATACTGTTTTCCAATGATAAAGAGACCAAGGCACTTACAACAAATGGTACTGGGACAACTGGTTGTTTACATGCAAAAGAATAAAGCTGAACCCTTACCTCATACTATACATAAAAATTAGCTCAAAATGGATCATAGACCTAAGTGTACAAGCTAAAACCATAGTACTTAGAAGAAAACACAGGAGTAAATATCCATGACTTTGGATTAGGCAATGATTTCTTGGATATGACACCAAAAGCATAAGTGATAAAAGGAAAAACAATTGACTTTGCCAAAATTAAAAACTTTCGTGCTTCAAACCATCAAGAAAGTGAAAAGAGAACATACAGAATGGGAGAAAATATTATAAATCATATATCTGAAAAGGAACTTGCATCCAGAATATATAAAAAACTTCTACAACAGTAAAAAGACAACTCAATTTTAAAAAGGACAAAGGATATGAATAGACATTTCTCCAAAGAAGATATACAAATGGCCAATAAGCACAAGAACAACATTATTAGTCCTCAGGGAAATGCAAATCAAAACCACAATGAAGGAAGGAGATTTGCCATGAGATCAGAAGAAATGAATGGTACCTGGCTACCATTACTGAATGTTTTGATCAAGCATCCAATGGGTGGATACTGATAAAAAGGAGGAGAAATGTAGAAGAGAACTTCAAATTCTTAAGGAAACTAGACTTACTGGATCCACTGAAACTGAGGGAACCCCCTAATCTATTGCCTGGAAATAATCTTTAAACCTTGAACCGAAATTATCCCATGAAGTCCTCTTTAAACTAAACAATAATGTAGCTCAAATAATAAAGAACGTTTGCCTTGAGCATTGCACTCTTTTAAAGAATCATCTATATAAGATCAAATTGACAACAGTAACTCTAAAGCAAAAATGAGAGCTTTAAGGAGCAGGGAGTCTAGGTTAATGGTGGGAAAACAATAATGCATAGAGACAGTGAGAATAGTGAGACAATGTGAAGTATGTAACCCATGTCATTGAACTGTACATGCAGAAATTGTTTAGTGGGTTATGTTCTGTTGTGTATATTTTCACCAAAAATTTAAAAAAAAAAAAAGGAGGAAAGGAGATCAAATAACTTTCCAGACAGGCAGGGTGTCAAAAATTTACTTCCCATGCTCTTTTTCTCAGGAAGCTATTATGAAAGTACCTCACCAAAACAAGAAAGGAAAAACACATGGAAACCAGAAAACAGAGGACATAATATATGAGAGCCATGAGTCAAAACCACCTCGATGGTAACTGGTAAGGGAATCGCAGGTCCATGGTAAATAAAAGTTCCAGGATGAGAGCTGCCTAGAGTGCAATTAGTCCTCAGAGGAGCAGGATGACAGAGGGTTTGAGTAAGGGTGGCTCCAAGGGAAAATGCAACTAGTAGGTTACCTGATGTGTCTGAATGAGAGCAGATCTACAGTTCTGTTCAAGAGTCTGGGGTTAAAACAGTTAACATGTATACAAAAAACTACGCAAACAAAAATACACATTATTACACCTGGGAAAAGAAAAAGTTGTACAAGAAAAAACTTGATTAGAAACCCTGGTAGTGTAGTAGTTAAGAGTTCAGCTGCTGTAACAGCAGTTCAAATCCACCAGGCACTCCTTGGAAACCCTATGAGGCAGTTCTACTCTGTCCTATAGGGTCGCTAAGAGTCGGAATCGACTCAACGGCAATGAGTTTGGTTTTGGTTTTTTTGGATGTGGCTCAGTTATAAATAACAATGTAAATACTAGATGTTGATCTAATAGAAAAAATTGTTTGGAGGTGGGGAAACTGCAAGAGCACGATCTCCCATACTAAGAAGTCAGAAGGTAACATCTACAAATGACAACAAAAGAGTAATATATGCCTATAATTTAGGTTTATAATGGTAATTACTAGAAGAAAGAAATGGTAATTACCAGAAAGAAACAAAAGTGGTTGCCTTGGGGAAGATGGAAGAGGAACTAGGAATGAAAAGAGGTAAAACAGGGAATTACTGTTTGTTATTATAAGTCCTCATGTGGAACATGTACATGGACCAAGAGGCAACTGTTCAAAGAGAACAAGTGGATACTGTGTGGTTTAAAATCAGGAAAGGTGTACGTCAGGGCTGTATCTTTCACCATACATGTTCAATCCGTATGCTGAGCAAATAATCCAAGAAGCTGGACCATATGAAGAAGAACGCAGCATCAGGACTGGAGAAGACTCATTAACAACATGCGATATGCAGATGACACAACCTTGCCTGCTGAAAGTAAAGAGGACTTGAAGCACTTACTGATGAAGATCAAAGACTACGGCCTTCGGTATGGATTACGCCTCAACATAAAGAAAACAAAAATCCTCACAAATGGATCAATAAGCAATATCTTGATAAACAGAGAAACTACTGAAGTTGTCAAAGATTTCATTTTTCTTGGATTCACAATCAATGCCCATGGAAGCAGCAGTCAAGAAATCAAATGTACTGCACTGGGCAAATCTGCTGCAAAAGACTTCTTTAAAGTGTTAAAAAGCAAAGATGTCATCTTGAGGACTAAGGTGCACCTGACCCAATCCATGGTATTTTCAATAGCCTCATATACATGTGAAAGCTGGACAGTGAATAAAGAAGATCGAAGAAGAATTGATGCCTTTGAATTATGGTGTTGGTGAAGAACACTGAAGACACCACAGACGTCCAGAAGAACGAACAAATCTGTCTTGGAAGAAGTACAGCCAGAATGCTCCTTAGAAGCGACGCTGGTGAGTCTTTGTCACATGTACTTTGGACATGTTATCAGGAGGGACGAGTTCCCGGAGAAGGACATCATGCTTGGTAGAGTAGAGGGTCAGCAAAAAAGAGGAAGACCCTCAACAAGATGGACTGACACAGCGGCTGCAATGATGGGCTCAAGCACAGCAATGATTGTGAGGATAGTGCAGGACTGTGCAGTGTTTCGTTCTGTTGTACATTGGGTCCCTATGAGTTAAAACTGACTCAACAGCATCTAACAACAAACAACAACATAGGAAGTCTTATAACATTATGGATTTTTAAATTATGCATTTGTATTAATGATTAAAAAAATACATTGTCTATACCAATGTTCACTGTAGCATTATTCCCAACAGCCAAGAGGTAGAAACCACCTAAGAAAGTGTCCATCAACAGATGAAGGAATAAACAAAATGTATCATACTATGGAATATTATTCAGCCATAAAGAGAAATGAAGTTCTGGTACATGCTATCAATGGCACAGATGAACTTTGAAAACATTCTGCTAAGTAAGCCAGACACAAAAAAACAAATATTATGTGATCCCATTTATGAAACAGAGTAGACGAATACATACAGACAGAAAGTAGATTAGTTGTTACCAGGGACTGAGAGGAGGGATGGGTGAGGAGTTATTGCTTAATGGGTACAGAGTTTACATTTGGGATGATAAAAAGTTTTGGAAAAAACAGTAGTGATGGTTGCACAACATTGTGTGATTAATGCCACTGAACTGTTCACTTGAAAATAGCTCAAATGGCAAGTTTTATGTTGTGTATATTTTACCACAATTAAAAAACAGAGGCAATCAAGGCTGAACAACAACAACAAAACCAGAACAGTACTCCCTTGTTGTATAATAGCATAAAGTGAGTGAATATAATTAATTCAACTCTGCATCCAAAGCTTAAAGAAAAAGACATGTCCTCAGCAAATGAGGGCTAGTTAACGCATGGTAAGGGCAACCACACTCTCTTGGCAACCCTGAACCCACTATTCAGAAAGACTACACTGGCTAGAACACCAGCCTTACTCAGCATGGTGTCTGTTTGCTTTGTAAGGGAGAACCATAAGCACCTACTTTGTGCTAAGGACTGAATGAGTGATGGTAGATTTATTTAACCCCACAACCTGTGAGATAATAAACACCTTCATTTTATAGATTTAAAACACAGAGTCATTTATCCAAAGTTACAAAAGCAGCACAGTAGATTTGAACTTCATATTTAGCTTTATTTCCAATGTATCACTGCTTTCCCCTAAGCAACCTAAACTATGAATCTCTTCAGAGATTTAATCCTAAGGTAATCTTTCTTTCCAAAATAAGATCTAAACATTTCACACTTATTTTTTCCTAGACTATTCAAGAGAAGGCAGCAGTGGAATTGAGTCTATATGCACAGCACCATCATTCTTTATATGTAAACATTTAGAAATGAAGATATTTTATAGAAAACAAAAAATTACATTTTTTGAAATGCCTGTCATATAATAAGTGTTCAGATATATAAAGATATGTATACATATATATCTGTGTGTATATGTGTGTGTGTGTGTGTGTGTATATATATATATATAAACTAAAGATTTTGACTCTTTTATTTAAGTGGCATCTACACTATTACTGACCACTTATCTTGAGTATCACCACACAATGAGCATATTTTAAGGCATCTCAGCCCAATACTTATATTTGGAGATAAGAATTATGAAAACAATTATACTTCAGAAGCAATGACTCTTCCATTTTTTAGCTACTCTGATAAGAAGTACCTGGTCTTCAGTAAGATTCTCAGCATCCCAGTTGCTGCAGCGAAGTAGAAGGGACTTGTCAAGCGGAAAGTTCAAAACGGTCTCAGCAAGTGATTTCAGGCTAAGCCCATTACAGAGCAAATTGTTTCTATAAGAAATGAATAAAATTTTGTATAAAAAATGGGCAAAAGACATGAACAGGCAATTCAGAAAAAGGCATAAAAATGGCCAATAACTGATAAAAAGCTATTCAATTTCACTAGAAATCAAAGAAAATAAAATAAAAATGATATACAATTTTTCATCTATCAGATTACAAACATTGTTTAAAATAACCATATCTAGTATTAGTGGAGCATGAAGAATAAAGCATTCTCATCTAAAATTCACAGATTATCAATTTTTACAACGTTTACAGAAAACATTTAACAATAAAGTTATCAAAATTTTAAACATGAGAATTCTCTGATCCAGCAATTCCATTTCTAGGAATTTACCCTAAGGATGAATGTACATAAAAGGATCTTCATTGCAGCACTATTTATAGTAGCAAAGAATTGGAAAAAAACTAAATGCCCATCAACAGAAGACTGGTTACATATCCATGCAATGTGATTCCATACAGCTATTTAAGAGAGAGAGCCCTGGTGGTGCAGCAGTTAAGAGCTCGGCTGCTATAACAAAAGGTCGGCAGTTCAAATTCACCAGTTGCTCCTTGGAAACCCTATAGGGCAGTTCTACTCTGCCCTATAGGGTCTCTAGGAGTCAGAATCAACTTGACGGATAGGGATGTGAATCTATATTTATTGATGTTAAAGATGTCCATGACATATTAAGTAAAAAAGATTGTGAAAGGAAATGTATACTATGGTACTGTTTACATTAAATACATGTACTACATGTTAAGTATATGTACACGATTCTAGGTGTGTGAGAGAGGAAGCTTAAAGAGATAATAGGAAGATACTAATCAAATGTCAACAGTGATACTACCTCTGAGTGTAGGATTTTTGGTGATTTTATATGTTCTTATGGATTGAACTGTGCCCTCCCAAAAATATGTGTTGTAAATTCTAACCTCTATGCCCGTGGTTATAATTCCATCTGGGAATGGGTTGTCTTTGATATGTTAATGAGGCCGCATCAGTGTAGGGTATGTCTTAAATCAATCTCTTTTGAAATATAAAAGACTGAACAAGCAAGCTAGGAAGGAGAGATGGGGTAAGATCAGTGACAAGACACTTGGAGCTAGCTCTTCAAGGAACCAGGAAGCAGAAGCTGGAGAGACAAGGATCTCCCTCCAGAGCCGACAGAGAGAGAAAGACTTCTCCTTGAGCTAGTGCTCTGAATTTGGACTTCTAGCCTCCTGAGTTGTGAGAAAAAAAATAAATTTCTGTTTGTTAAAGCCATCCACTTGTGGTATTTCTGTTACAGCAGTACTGGATAACTAAGACAGAATTTGGTACTCGAAGAGTGGGGTGCTGCTCTAACAGATACCTAAAATGTGGAAGCGGTTTTGGCATTGGGTAATGGGTAGGAGCTGGAAGAGTTTCAAGGTGCCTAACAGTAAAAGCTTAAATTGCTTGATGAGACTGTTGGTAGAATTATGGACATCAAAGGTAATTCCAGTGAGGGCTCAGAAGAAGTGAGGAGAGCAATAGAGAAGGTCTCTATTGTCTTAGAGAATACCCATGGCACCACCAATAGAATGTTACTAGAAATGTGAATATTAAATGTGCTTCTGGTGAAGCTTTGAAAGAAAATGATGAACATGTGATTGGACAATGGAGGAAGGGCGACGCTTTTTTATGCAATGGCAAAGAACTTGTCTGAATTATGTTCAAATGTTTGGTGGAAGGCAGAACTTGGAAGTGATAAACTTGGATATCTGAATGAGGAGATTTCAAAGCAAGAGGGCTGCATGGTTTCTCCTTGCTGCTTAGAGTAAAATGTGAAAGGAAAGAGATGGACTTAAAGATCAACCGTGCAAAATAAAAACAGAACTTAAAGATTTGGAAAATTTTGTTGTACAAACTAAGGACATGTGTTCTAGAATGTTCACCAAGGCTACACAATCTTTTGTTAAAGAGATTAAGCCTATGACTGATGGATCTAGCCAACTACCACAGCAGAAAACCCATCAGCTTAGACTGAAGTGGACAGAGAAAGAATGAAAGGAAAGAACACTGTCTGCCTCTTGGAATTCTACAGGCAGGAAACAGGCCAAAGGGGCTACATCTGCTATCCTTCGAGAAAAGGACCATCCTTGGAGCAGCTCGGAGATTAGCAGATCTGTTGGAAGCAGTACAGGAAGCAGGGCCTTCATGGTTTCAAAGGGTGGGACCACGGTCTCCTGGATCCTAAAGGGTTAGGCCACAGCCTCCTAGGTTTCAAAGAGCTGGATCTTCGTCAACTGGGTTCTGTAGTGTGGAGCTGCTGTTAAGGAGTGCCGGGGGATGGGGCTGCTTTCCAAAGCCGAGGGGGTGAGGCTGCCATGCCCAACAGGCAGAAGAACAGGGCCTGCCAGGGCCGAGCGAGGAGGGTTGCCACTCAGATAGACTAGGAAAATGGGGTCACCCAAAGCCAAGGGAGCAGAGTTGCCATCCCAGTAGGCCTGGACAGTGGAGCTGAAGTCCAACCGAAGGGTCTCCACCCAGAATCCAGACAGTGCGGCCAACACCCAGAATCTGGAGGGTGGGGCCATTGCTCAGATAGTCTCAGAGAAGAGAGGATTATTTTCAAGACTTGAGAACTAAGGTAAACTGTTCTGCTGGGTTTTGGACTTGTTTGGTACCTGTTATCCCTTCTTTCCCTCCAATTTCTCCCATTTGTAATAGAAACGTCTACCTTGTGCCTGTTTCACCATTGTACTTTGGAACAGATAACTTGTATTCTAGATTTCATAGGTTTACAGATGAAGAGGAATTTTGCCCCAGGATGGACTACACCTAAAGTCTCACCCATATTTGATTTAGATGCTTCAGAAGATGAGATTTTAGACTTGGAGTTGATTTAAGACTTTTGGGATCATGTGATTGGGTGAATGTGTTTTGCACGTGGCAAAGACATGAATTTTGGGGGGGGCCAAAGGATGGAATGTTATGGCTTAAACTGTGTCCTCCCAAAATATGTGTTGTAAATCCTAACATCTATGCCTGTGGTTATAATCCCATTTGGGAATGGACTGTCTTTGTTATGTTAATGAGGCAGGATTAGTATAGGGTATGTTTTGAGTTAATCTCCTTTGAGATATAAAAGAGATTACACAAGCAAGATAGGAAGGAGAGATGGGGTAAGATCAATGACAAGACACATGGAGCTAGCTCTCCGAGGAACCAGGAAGCAGAAGCTGAAGGAACAAGGACCTTCCTCCAGAGCCAACAGAGAAAGCCTTTCCCTTAAGCTAGTGCTCTGAATTCAGACTTCTAACCTCTTAAACTGTGAAAGAATAAATTTCTGTTTGTTAAAGCCATCCACTTGTGGTATTTCTGTTATAGCAGCACTAGATAACTAAGACTTATATTCTTCATATTTTTCTATATCTGAATCTGCTAATGTTCACATATTACTTTCCAAATTTGGAAAAGTGATAAGGTTATTTTCATTAAGGGGTGAAGGCACAGTAAAACCAAATAATAACCTATTCTTTCTGTTCTTCGAGAGTTCCTGGGTGGTGTTAACGGTTAATGTGCTTGGTTGCTAGCCAAAAGGTTAGAAGTTCAAGTCCACCCAGAGGGGCCTCAGTAGAAAGGCCTGGTGATCTACTTCTGAAAAATCAGCCATTGAAAACCATATGAATCATATTTCTACTCTGACACACATAGGGTCACCATGAGTCGGAACTGACTCAACGGCAACTGGCAGGTTGGTTGGTATGCTCTTCAAAAACTTTCTGATTAAAATAGCTTCAGGGTGGTGAAAAAAAAATTCATTAATCCAAGGATCAGAGACTCCTACCAGGAGACAAATGTGCAATTAAGAACACATCAGTCTTCAAAAGTGAAGCTGCGTTCTTGGTTACCAAGTGAGACACTAGCAGTTTTGGAGCAGGAGGCTTGGAGTTGGAGGTTCACACCAGTGTTATAAAATGCAGTATTCCCTTAGGTTCTGTAGGGAATGAAATCATTATAACAATGAAGAAAAGGAAGTCTTTCCTTACAAAGCAAGCAGTAAACCAATAGATGTCATCACCTTCAAAAGGCAGCAGTCACTAAAAAGTACAAAAAGGTCCAGACAAACTTAGGTAAAATATATAACCCACTGCTGTCGAGCTGATTCTGACTCATAGCAATCTTACAGGACAGAGTAGAACTGGGGTTTCCAAGGCTGTAATCTTTTTCTTGTTTTTTTAATGCTCAACAAGCAACTTTGTTTGTGTGGTATTCTTCCGAGGAGACCTTCTCAGAGGGGGCTGGGCCTCTGTGCAGGTTGGAACCTCTGAGCGAGGGCTCTGGTCTGGTCCCGGCACCTGTGGTCCAAGAGGCCACGTGGGCTTGTTCCCCAGCCTCGTGCTATGGAGGCTCTCTGCCTCTGCAACCAGGGAGAGACATGCTGGTGTCATGTCCAAGAGCCCTGGCCTTCCTCTCAAAAGGCCCCGGACCCTCCCACCTGCATTTCTTTCTTGCTTCCCCTTTCATCCAAGGCTATAATCTTTACGGAAGCAGACTGCCACATCTTTCTCCAGCGGACTGTCCCTTTGGTTGGCAGCGAGTGCTTAATCATTGTGCCACCAGGGCTCTGAAATATATGAAGTCCTATACAAATGGAAATTAAGTTTTGGGGGGGCACTTAAAACTTTCTTTTATTAAAAATTAGAAAAATAATGAATGTGCTATTAAAATTTTAAACAATAGAGAGGCATAATGGGTGAAAAATGAAAGTCCTCTGCCCCACACTTCCATTTCTTGGGATTAACTACTCTTAACAGTATGTGTGGCCCTTCCAGACTTTTTCTATGCACAACTAAATAAACAGATGGTTAGATGGAGGAGTAGATGTAATTTTTTGGTATTTTATTGTTGTTCTGCAACTTGCTTTATTCACTTAATGTATCAAGGACCTCATTTCATGACAGTAAATACAAATGCACTTACTTCATTCTTTGTAATAGCTGTGTAGTTTTCTAAGCCTGGATATAACATAATTCTTCATCACTCCCTCCACAGAAAAACAGTATTTAATTTCTAGTTATTTAATTCCATTTAGGTCATTAGTCTTTTTATTTTTAGTGTCCTATTTGGGAAGGTTTCACATCTCTTGAGGACGAATTAAAAGAAAATGCCAGCTTTGTCACTTCAAAGTTTCACTAGGAAAAATTCCAAAATCATGTACAACAATCTCTATAATAAATAATGTTTGATTAACAGACAATAAAAAATGCAAACCAAACAAACTAAATTTTCACATTATACTAAATTTTTTCCTTTGTTTTTTTAAATTTTGTATTTTTAAATTTTTTTAGTATAAAGAGAAATTTTAGTTTGTTAGTTTGGTTTGTATGTAAATAAAATGCTTAGAAATTAAGTATAATTTTTTTTCAAGTAATACATTAAAATATTGCTGTTAAGAAAAAAATTGTAGGAGCCCTAGTGGCATAGTGGTTAAGAGCTCAGCTGCTAACCAAAAGGTCAGCAGTTCAAATCCACCAGCCACTCCCTGGAAACCCTATGGGGGAGTTCTACTCTGTCCTATAGGGTCACCATGAGTCGGAACCCACTTGACAGCACCTAAGAACAACAACTAAAAAAATTATGACAAGCACAATTTTCATCAGGACTTCTCTTAGTTTATCAAATTCTACCTCCAACCTTTTAATGTCAGTGTTACTTGGAGCATGGAGAGAGGCTGTTTTGGTCCATGTTATTATAAACAAGTACTGATATAACCAGCTAATTACTGTCCTCTAGAACTATGGACCCAATGTAGTTAGATTATCTAATTTTTCAAGAAAAGTCAGAAATACAGATTTTACATTAAACATACTGGATTTAAAATAAAAATTTTAAGGACGCATCATCTAGACCAAAAAACCCCATCTGCAGCCCCTATTCAGCCTGTTTATAACTGACAGCCTACAGAGATACCTTATTAATATTCCATCTAAAAAGATCAGATCTAGATAAACTAAAGTTTTCTCAGAAGTTGGAATATTTCCTTACAAAGTCAGTATCCATCTCAGAAACCTCTAGGCTTCCAAATAACTTCAGATATTTCATTAACGATTCCCAGCAATCTACAAATCTTGCTAAACTATTTGCCCCATAGCTACAGATATCTCAGCATGCATACACACCATACCTCTGCCTCACGGCTAGGTATCGGAGGTCCAGATATCCCTTAACAACGAGGCCATAATCCTGTAGGAGCTTGCTGGCATCTTCTGAACATCCCACTCCAACTTTTAAAATGGTGCCATCTGCCAAAATGTCCAGTAATGTTCTTGGTAGTGTTTTTCCTCCATGGATTAGCTTGGGCAAGCGAACCAGGACACAGAGGCCACTTGGCGAGGCCATCTGTAGGAGTGACAGAGGACTGATTCTGCCTTCTAAATTCACCTGCAACAGAGGACAGCCACAGTTCACATCTAGCACAGTACCGAGTGTCTAAAAGGCATATCCTTATCTTCCCAAAGGGATAATATGACCAAACTTTGTGTTCAAATCTAGGGATAAACCTATGCTAACAAATGCAATGGACTCTGTGAAGCAGCAGCCTAGGCAAAGGCTACCTAGGGCCCAAGCTCCACAGACTGAAATGTGAGCCATCCATAAATAGTGACCAGCTGACACAGAGTGGCTCCGGGACACACAGTTGCAGTCATACTAAACATACTGATAATAAAAGGCTAAGGGGAAAAAACAGGATAAGAAGAAGTATGCCAAATGATAAACTTTTTTTTTTTAATTATCAAGACTCATATCCTAGTCAACCAACTCATTCACCTAATTATCACTGCTTCTAAGATCTAGATTTTTTTAAAAACTTTATTGTGGTAAAATATATGTAACATAAAATTTGCCGCTGTAACTACTTTTAAGTGTACAATTCCATGCCATTAATTATATGCACAATGTTGTACCACCTTCACCACTATGTGTTTCCAAAACCTTTTCATCACCCCATACAGAAACTCTGTACCCATTAAGCAATCACTCTCCATTCCCCCTGCCCCCATCCCTGGTAAACTCTAATCTACTTTGTGTCTCTATACTTTTGCCTATTCCAGATATTTGATAGAAGTGGAATCATACAATATTTGTCCTTTTCTGTCTGGCTTATTTGACTTAGCACAGTGTTTTCAAAGTTCAAGATCTGGATTTTTAAAAAGAGGTAGAAAATACAGTGCTGTAAATAAATTGTTGTTAGTCGCCATCAAGCCAATTCCGATTCATGGCAACCCCATGTGTGCAGAGTAGAACTGCTCCATAGGGTTTTCAAGGCTGTGACCTTTTGGAAGCAGATCACCAGGCCTGAGGTAGTACCTACCAATGTAATAAATCCTGGTAGCACAAAGTGCTTTCTCAGCATTTTCTATGGACAAATGTTGCTTGTAAAAGAAAAAATGTTTAAGCAAGTATCCTTATATTTTAAGAGATGAAAGTAACTTTATATATTAACTGATCTAGGTTTAATCTCTTTGGGAGCATAGATAAGTTAGAGAAAATACTAAAAGTTAAGGAAGTTCTCCCCAGAGAAACATACATATAAAATTCACATATAATTTCAAGGGATTAAAGATTCCCTAAAGCCATCCATGCAACCCAGATTTAGAACCCGGTAACTTCCAGTCCTTCTCATTTCCCAGAAGAGGAAGCTTTAGGCCTACAGGCGAAAGCAGATTGTCCAAACATGCAAGATAACAGCAAAGCCGTGACTAGAACCCAAACTGCCTAATCTCTAGAACAGTAGTTCTCACTCAGAGGTGATTTTGCACCCCAGGGGATATTTGGCAATGTCTGGAGAAGTTTTTGGCTGTCACAACATGAGGGTGGCAGTTGAGAAACCCTGCTCCAGGGCGATGGCTGTTCTCTCACTACCATACTACCTGTGGTAGGCACTGCACCACGTACCACTGTGGATAGATACAAGGTTATGTAAAACATGGTCCCTGCCTTAAGAACTTACAGCCTTTTAGGTGGAGTACGATACACACAAATTCACATACACACACAGAAAATGACATGATAGACCAAAGGAATGGTTCCAATAGAGTGCTACAAGTAATCAGAGGAGGCATATTTCATAACATCACAAAGAGGTGCAAGAGTCCAAAGAGCCCTGGTCCTCAGCTTTGACCTCGATGCTGAGCAAAACCATGGTTTAACTCGAAAAATGACTTCCCTTCTCAGGCACTGAGCTATTTCCACAAACCTCAAATGAATGCATGTCAGTTTGATCTCTATTTTGGAAGGCTCAGCTAGAGTCAAACAGGTCTATAAGAAACCTGACTACTGGTTCTTGTTGCATAAAAACTCATCTAGATGTGGCCAAATCTGTTTTTTTATGAATGAATAATTCTCTCCCTCTGTAATACCTGCCTCTCCATGAAAAAGCTACAGATCTGTACTTCTAATACATAGCACTACCAATCTGACATAAAATTGGACTGCAAATTCCAATGGCTGGATCTTTCTACATCTTTTACAGTCAGGTCCCATTGCCTAAAATATACTAAATCAATAACACAGACAGATAGCTAGACAGATAAGCTGAGTTTTCATTTTAATAATGGTATAGTTTCTGGATTGTGCTTAAGATCCAATGTATTATAATCAATGTTTTCCCACTAAGAATCCAAGTGTTTGTAATACCAATAGGTGCCCAATTAATTTATATTGAATGCATAATGAGAAGGACAATGCTTCTAGCAGAGTCAGTTTAGCCTAAAGAATAAGGTATCTATAGCCTTTGTTGCTCGTATTTCACCCTTTTGCTTTCTAATATCTTCCTCCCTGACATCATTTACCACTCATGAAAACAATGGAATCCTTAGCTTACCAATGTTATATTTATTAAGAAAAAAGGGAACACTTTCATTTCATTAGCATTGTTTAATCCAGTGGTCTCTATTTTTTTTTTTTTTTTTTGGACCTTTGAAATTCAGATAACTATGTAAATTGAAAACATTCTTAAAACTGTATTTAGAGTTAAGACTCTTGTTATGAAAAGCTAGGTACTTCTAGGTAAGGTAGAAGTATTTCTAGGTAAACCAGAGCAGATTTGACTTTGTACTTTATTCTTTAAACAAATTTTAAAGAGTGGAGAAAAAATAGGTTATTTACAGAAAACAGTATCTACATATGCACTCAGAGGTCAAGTTTGGTGACAGAAAGACTTAAGTACATGCTGGCATCTCAGAAGCAGTTCTCAAAGAGCTTTGTTTTATGTTCTTGGATTTTGTGTGTTGCCTAAGATCGTTCTTCATCCTCAATCCTGGGAGCCAAATAGTAGTTTAAATATCCCGTTATCAGCAATTTCACACTCTACAAAAAGGGGTACATCTGAAGACATATTGAGCATTACTGCAGGAAAGAGTGGAGTGGTTTTTGTAAAGAAGTTCAGGTACCTAAGTGCAAAAGTTGGCTGAACTGGTTCATTCATCTCTATGGTAACAGCCTCCTCTCCTTTACAGACATACTTGTTTGTGACAATTTAGTATCTTCATTTCCAAGATTTCCACTTGCAGAAAATTTCACTCCAATTTTTGCACAGGAAATGACAAAAGCATCTCCAATATGATTGAGATCTTGGCATATACAGGCAAATTCACTAGAAAGCATTTTTACTACAATGCTATACTCTTGTTCTGGAATTCCAAGTTTTTCAACATCTAAATCCATTAACTTCATTTCATAGTCTGAACTTTTTCTTGGTTTGGTGACTGAAATACTAGTGCCAAGGTATCCACATTATCTTCAGCCCTTAGTGTAATGATGTCTTCACTGCCAGCACATTTTCGTATCTTGGACATGCTAGTGAGGTTCACGCCCATGGCCAGGTTGCTTAATTTTTTTTTTTTATTAGTCAACCAATATAAAATATGTTTGGGACATACATAGTGTAAAAGTATATTTATTTATAAATTACATACATGTAGTACTGTACTAATATACTATATACATTATTGTACACAAAAGTAGAAATTTAAAATGAATGAAGCCATCATTATAGATAAAATTTCTAACACTTTTTTCTGTATTTCAGTGATTGATTTAGAGAGAACTGATTTAGAGATCCTCCTTCCTGAGGGCCAACAGATAATCTATTTAGCCTCAGGAGCTGATAAACTTTCTGAAAAGGGCTGTGATTCTTCAAATGACCCTGTGAGGGCAGCAACGAGTAACGAATGATCTGAGACCATCCGGGATGGAGCAGGCTAAACACTAAGCATCCCTAGTCTTTGTAGTATATGTATCAGTTAAATTTAGACCATGGCTTTGAAACAGGAAAGAGCTTGCCCTGTTCAAACAACAATGAAGACCCAATGTGGCTGGAGAGTAGTTAAGAGGAGGATGGGAAGAGAGTGGAGGAGACAAAATCAGAGAAGTCGAGAGATGCCAGAGCATTTAAGTCCTTATATTTAAGACAACTGCACTGTATTCTAAGCAATGGAAGGGTTTTAAGCAGAGGAGTGACATAATCTGATCTGCACTTTTAAAAGACCACTTTGCCTACTGTATGGAAAAGAGATTATAGGGGCACACAATGAAAGCAGGAGGATGGTTAGAAGGCTACTGCAATAGTCCAGACGAAAGATACCTTAGGCTTGGACTAGGGAGTAAGTAGAGGAGATGTAGAGAAATAGGTGGATTAAAAATGTACCTTGGAGATAAAACCAATAATACTCCTAAATACAAACCAAAAAGAAACTAAACCCATTGCAGTCAAATAGACTCCAACTCACAGTGACCCTATAGGACAGAGTAGAACTGCCCCATAGGGTTTCCTAGGCTGTAATCTTTATGGAAGCAGACTGCCACATCTTTCTCCCATGGAGCAGCTGGTGGGTTCAAACCACCGACCCTTCAGTTAACAGCTGAGTGCTTAACCACTGCACCACCGGGGCTCCTTCCTAAATAGGAAGGGAAGGATTAATAGTAAGGAAAAGGGAGTGGACCTCACGCAAGGATGGCTTGGGAAGGATGTTCTTGGGAAAATGACCTTCACTTCACACAATCTTCATTGCACCAGTTATTTGCACCTGTTAAGCAAGGGCATAAGAAGCCAGAGTTTCCAGAAGAGAGCAGGCAGGAGTCAGAGGGCTAGAAAGGTATATTAACATCTCCACTCCCACCTCCCCAGGAGAAAGGCAACAACAGCTTCTAAAACATGGCGAATCCTCACTTGGTACTGGTGATTTATCCAGAGTTGCACATCACCAGGGTAACTCAGGGGGATCTGGACAAGTTTCTCTCTATCTGGTAGCATGTTGTGTTACTTCCTGCTTTATGTAACCATTACTTTGAATTCCATATATTTTACCATTTAAGTAATTTAATATGCTATAACTGCCTGCATGCATCTTACTTTCAATCATATCACCATCCTGTTGGAC